GCTATGTTGTTTTAATTTTGCATAGGCTTGTGGACTGGATAATCTTATTGTGCATTTTTTAGCAAGAATTATATATTGTATAAGTGACTCCATTATTGTATGAAATTGTTATTGTACTGTTTTGGTGAAAGACATAAATCTACTACTACTACATGGAGCAGCACAAGTAGAAAAGAGGAAAGATGAATCCTTATGGGATCAGTACCAGGGATGTAGCAGTGAAACCAAAAGCATGATAGCGAGACAACGCCCCATCAAGGGTCTATGTGCAACCTAACTTTTAGAGTACAAAGGAAAGGCTCTGTACAAATCTGTAACTGATTTGCTGTGCCTGCAGTGACTGTACCACCAGCCCTATCAGTTAGCTTGTGTATTTGCTTAATAAGATCTAATTTACCTACTGACCAATTCCAGCTTTTACTTTCTCCATGGAGAGCAGATTTTTGGCGGCACAATAAGCTCACTCTCTCAAGAGGCTGCATTATACCCTTAACATTGGTTTGTCAAACACCCTATCAAATTCTTTAAGAATGTCTTTGCCTTCAGTTCTGGAAACAAGTTAGATGCCCCTTTGACTATCTGCATTTGTGGGTTGTTGTTTCATTCAAATACACAAGGGGCTGCTCTATTTTGAACTCAGGAGTAGGATGGTGTGACCTTACACAGACTTACCAGAGTGGCTTTTCCACACAGCTCCATCATAAGTCCATTCTAGGAAACAAGCTAAGGTTTCGGTTTTAACAGTCTGTGGTTACTGGACTTTCTATGCCTGCTTGTTGTAGTAAGCTCCTACAGATTGTGGTCCTTTGGGTTATAGGGTCATGGTGAACATTCTCACCAGATGCAATCAGTTTCTTTTTATATACGAGGGAGGAATAGGAGTCTCATGGCAAAAATGTTCTGACCAACAGGCCCCAGATGACCAGCATGTGGGAATGCAGCAGGCTCAGAGGCTCCAGCCCCTTCTGCCAAAGCAGATCTGCATCTGTGACCAGCTTTTCCTGAACAGACAGGAAGTCTACTGAGTTTCCCCTTCCCCTTTGCCTGAACTGATAACATTCTCCATACATGCTCTTTTCGAGACTTCTAGCAGTTTTCTGGAACCCCTCACCCCAGATTTGCAGTTGCCTTATACTCTGACTTGCAGGTGGTTTTACACTGGAAAAAGGGCCTGAAGTACACAAGTGATTTCTGGATTTTGAAACCCTCCATAACTGGGGCTGCTTGGATCCTGGCTATGAGTTCAGCCACAAGAAACCAAGCATGACATTCAGATCCAAGCCCCAGATCTAATTCCAGCCTGCCCTCCCCTAACTCTGGGGGCGGCCAGACCCAAGGTTTTGGCTCAGATCACTTTGCTGTTTGCCCTGCTTTCCCAAGGGTGATTTGCTATAGGACTTGTGGTTTATTTGCATGACTAGTACTGCAGCAGAGCTAGAGAAGGCAGCTCCTCCCAGACAGTGCATACAGCTCACTGCAGAAAAGCTAATCTGGGTGGGGTCAGACTAGCCTGCAGAGCTCACAGGCTCCAGAGAGAAACAACAGGAAAGCTCAGAAAAACCTCTTCTTGGCTGAACCCTCTAGCAACTCCTACATCCCGATCTGTGTAAACCCTGACAAAGGGGAAGGGGAAACTCAGCAGAACACCCCTGCTGGGAGGGGCCAGAGGTGGCTGCAGGGCACTGCTCTGGGGTCAGTGGCACACCCTGTTGTGCACAGAACAGATGCAGGGCTGAGCAAAATGAGTCACTCTGGGTTACACTAGTTCTATCTATATCTCGGGGGACAGCCCTCCCAGTACACATAAAACCACCTTGGCTGGGAGTGCTCAGCCTCTGCTGTTTTCCTGCAAGTCACAGAGATAAGATAAAGGCAACAGGAAGCACATAAAGGTATTTGTGTATGGAAGGAGTCATAGCTAAAGGCACTTCCAGGGGCTCCTTCTCACACACTTCCCTCTTTCTCCTAACCAGACCTCACGGCCAGAAGGATTTCCTGGAACAAGTGAATTGCTAGGCTGGAATTTGCTCGAGAGCGACAGGGAAGTTTACACAGGGCTTTGGGGGATGCTGGTGAGGAGAAAGAAACAGTAGACAGAGTTGCAAGCTAGGAACTTGGCACATCCAGGCCAGTAGCAGCAGAGAGCTATTAGCCAGACCCAAATTTGCATAAGCAGCTGGCTCTGGGGTACAGCCCTGGTCTGCAAAATAAGTCAATCCACACAAGGATAGGGACACGCCAAAGCCAAGATGCACTCACTTGTTATTTGCATTGCAACTGGCTCTAGTCTGTGCCTTCAGCCCCGTACTCCCTCAGAAACAACACTGGAGATGGAGAGCAGCTGTACTGTTTTGAAAAGAACAGCTTTGTACAAGCTGTTGAGCTTGGCGGTGATGTGGGTGTGATGTCAGGGTGGCCTCCATCAGTGCAGCAGTGCTGGGATCACATGCACACAGGAGAGGAAATGCCTAAGCACCCTCACTATGCTAATGCTCAGGCAGCAGGAGCTCACAGAGAATCAGGCAGTTCTCCACAGGCCTGACCTGCCGGACTGCACTAATTTGTCTCGTGCACGTAATGCTGAAAGTACCTGAAACAGCTTGTGCCTTTGCATACACTTAAGCAACTTCCACTGTCCAGCTGGGGTTACTTGTTGATTGCTTACTATGGGAGTCTCATTTTAGTGAATGTACTGCTTATCACCAACTTGCCCAAAGGCATTCCTGGATGGCCTAAATCTGCTTGAAATGAATGTCTGCCAGCTGGAGTCCACACCAGCAATACAATGCAGCTTTGGATTGCCATTCAGAATGCAAGGACTACTTCAGGCTTCACAAGCAAGGTCAGCTCCCAGACTACTGCACCTGGCAGCACAGTTTGGGGAGGTGGTGAGCAGCCAACAGTAGCCAAAGAACAGGTTAGAGATTACTTTAAAAAGCTGCATGTGTAAAAGTCCATGGAGCCAGATGGGATGCACCTGAGGGTGCTGAGGGTGTTGGCCAATGTGACTGGTTGCAGAGCCACTGGTCATTATCTTTGAAAATTTGTGGCAATTGGGAGAGGTACTGGACAACTGGAAAAGAGCAAATATAGTGCCCATGTTTAAAAAAGGAAAAAAGAAGGATCCAGGGAACTACAGACCAGTCATCCTCACCTCAGCCCCCAGAAAAATCATGGACCAGGTCCTCAAGGAATCTATTTCTAAGCACTTGAAAGAGAGAGTAGTTATTAGGAACAGTCAGCATGGCTTCACCAAGGGCAAGTCATGCCTGACCAACCTGATTGCCTTCTATGATGAGATAACTGGCTCTGTGGATGTGGGGAGACCAGCGGATGTGATATACCTTGCCTTTACCAAGGCTTCTGATATGGTCTCCCACAACATTCTCACATGCAAGCTAAGAAAGTATAGGCTGGATGAATGGACTGTAAGGTGGACAGAAAACTGGCTGGATCATTAGGCTCAGATGGTAGCAGTCAATGACTCTGTGTCTAGTTGGCAGCTGGTATCGAGTGCCCCAGGGATCAGTTCTCGGCCAGTTTTGTTTAATATTTTCACCAGTGACCTGGAAGATGGTATGGAGTGCACCCTCAACAAGTTTGTAGATGACATCAAGCTGGAGGGAATAGTAGATATGCTGGAGGGTAGAGCTAAGATTCAGAGAGACATTAACAACTTGAAGGACTGGACCAAAAGACATTTCATGAATTTCAGTAAGGATAAGTGCAAAGTCCTGCACTTAGGAAGGAACAAGCCTATGCACTGGTACAGGCTGGGGACCAACTGGCTAAGCAGCAAATCTGCAGAAAAGTACCTCGGGGTTAGAGTGGACAGTAAGCTGAATATGAGCCAACAGTGTACCCTTCTTGTAAAGACGACTAATGACATACTGGACTGCATTAGTAGGAGAGTTGCCAGCATATTGAGGGAAGTGATTATTCCCCCTGTTCAGCACTAAGTCCACATCTGGAGTACTGTGTCCACTTTTGGGCCTCCCACTACACAAAGGATGTGTACAAATTAGAGTCCAGTGGAGGGCAATGACAATGGTTAGGGAGCTGGGGCACATGACTTCTGAGGAGAGGTGGAAGGAACTGGGCTTATTTAGTCTGGAGAAGAGAAGATTGAGGAGGAATTTAATAGCAGCCTTCAACTACCTAACAGGAGGTTCGAAAGAGGATAAAGCTGGACTGTTCTCAGTGATGGCAAATAACAGAAAAAGGGGCAATGGTCTCAAGTTGCAGCAAGTTTAGGTTAGATATCAGGAAAAACTCTTTCACAAGGAAGGTAGTAAAACACTGGAACAGGTTACCCAGAGAGGTTGTGGAATCTCCATCCTTGGAGATTTTTAAGACCCAGCTAGACAAAGCTTTGGCTGGAATGATCTAGCTGGGGATTCTCCTGCTTTGAGCAGGGGGTTGGACTAGATGACCTCCTGAGGTCCCTTCCAACCCTAATTTTCTATGATTCTATGACTAAGCAACACTGGCTTGGCTTCTTCAGTAAAACCAATCTCTCCACCTTGGTGCCTTGGATTTTGCTGTCCTGCCAGCCACAAATAAGCAGCAAGCAAAGGAAAAGGAGAAAGAGAAGTGAGGTAAGGTACTAGTGATCTCACCATTTCACTAATTCAGCTAGTGGCTTTATAATAAAGAACAGGTGATGTGCCTGCTCATCTCAGGTGCAGGGGAACAAGGTTCTTCCATTCCTGCCCTCCTGCCTGTCCTTCTCTTCTGTGGACATACCAATCTACACAACAGTACTCTTTCCTGAGCCATGTGCCTCTCCAACGGGGTTCCCAGGAGTACAAGACTCAGTAGGGAACAGGAAGCAATGTTTGCAAGCAATCACAGAGCTGATTCTCATGACTACTGTCTCTCCCCCTGGGTCAGTGATTGATCTGAGCAGCCAAAGTAATAACTGAATCAGGAAATCATGTTTATGTTATTAAACTGTGTAACTGCTCAAATCTACATTAACTCACTGATCCAAAACTCAGTGCACTCTTAGGAGTCTGTTTTAATGCTTCCTGCTGAGACTGCCTTTCACAGGGCTCTTGGGATTGTGGGTCAACATCACAGCAACTGCCAGCTCAGGGCTGGAACAAGAGACAAACAAGCTCTCTCACAGCAGAGCTGGGAAAGTTCTCCATTGTTCAGACCCCAGTCTATACTGGCTCCACCTTAGCAGCATTCTGTGACTAGGTTGAGCCTTGTTCCTTCAGTGAGGCTCTGCCTGCAGCGGACGACACTCCAGGTCCAGGACCAGGTGGTGCACATGGGGCGCATAGGACTTCACTGGCTCGATGTGCAGGATGTTTGTCCTCCATGGCTCCCCACGCAACTTCTCAAGCAGAGCCCTGATCTGAGCTCCCGTGGCCTCTGCCCACCTCTGCCATTCAGGCCTGGTCCCAGTGAACTGAATCTCCTGCACAGAATCCATCACATCAGCAGTCTCTGGGCTCCTGTGGTTCCTCTGGGCCCCGCTGTCCTCCTGTCCATTGCAGAGTGGCTGTTCCTCCAACAGGCCACAGGGCAGCTGAAGAGCCTTTGCAGGGAAAGACTCCACATTCTGGTGGATGTGGAGAATCCCCCCCGTGTCCTTCCGCAGAACCTGGCAGGCGATGGGCCAGCCCTGCTCTGAGCTGGGAATCAGTCCCAGATTCACCCGGTCAGCCACATCCTGCAGCTCCAACTGTAAAAAGGGGCAGTGAGAAGGATGCCACAGTGCATACAGTACACAGAGCCCCATGTGGGGAGAGGAAACACTGCACAAAGCACCGCAGGGTAGGGCCTGCTAGTTAGGGATGCAGCAGAACAGGAACTCCTGTTGTGTGTCAGAAGAGGAGCTGGCAAATGAGGGATCAGTTAGGGATACCACAAAAGTCCAAAAAGCCCTATCACACTTGTGCATGTGCCCACAAGTGCCCTCCCCGATACACCCAAGAATCAACAAGGCATGGGGGGCGGGGGGCAGTCACACACTTTATGGCATCTGCCAGCCAAGCTCACTGCTCTTACCAGGAACATCTGGCATCCCCCATTCCTCCCACCAGCTCTCTGGGAGTCCCCTCCTTTCCCTCTACTTCAGAGACTCCCTGCAACCTGCTACCCTGTCCTTGACTCATCCCCCACATCACTGTCCTCTATTCCCCCCTACTGTGTGTCCACCACCCCTTTTGTGTGTCCCTTGTGCCCCCATTCTTATTCCTTTCCCTTTCCTCTGGTACAGAAGTCACCCAGGGCAGTACTGGAAAGACAGGCAGAGTGAGGCAGGACACTATTATGGTGCAGTGGTATAATAGCTGCTATTAGCTAGTTCTTTGGCCTAAGAACAATTTCAAGTTTGGTGAAGCTGAAGATCTGTTAATCAATTGCCTGGGACTCGGAGCTCCCCAGAGTCCCATTATTCACCAAAATTAGTAGGGTTCTGCCTATTGAAGTCCAGAGCAGTCCTGATGTTTCTGAAGTGTTCAGATGCTCTGGGCAAAGCAATCAGGGTACATCCTGACACGAACTAGGAAATGCCATCACACCCCTTGCAGCAGGTCCTGTCTCTGTCAAGACTTGCTTTACTCTGCCCAATGCAAACAGCTTAGGTAAAACAATAACTACGGAAGATGTTGGGTGGATCCAAAAGGTGTGTGAGACAGAGGTGCGACTAAGAGCAGTGGGACGCAAAGTACCTGCTGGTTAACCAGACAAGTCCTGATGGGAGCTCCACCTACCAGGCTGCAGAAAAGTGTCTCAGGAGAAGGGCATGGTCCCCCAGCACTTGGAACAGTTACAGACAGAGGTCAGTGCTCTGGAAAAAGTACCACATGCCCCAAAGGATGGGGCTGATCTGCTCCTTTTCCTGCAGCTGGTCAAAGACAACACACCATGTCCCTGTTCTCTCTCCTGACTGCAGACGCTACAAACCCAGTCACATGGGAAAGGTGTAGTGCGTGGGGCAACTTCCCAAGGGAGAGCTCACAGTTGCATTCACTCTCTTCCCTAATGGGCCACAGCTCCCCACCTTTGAGGCCCTGCTGTGGCCCTTTGGTTGTAGGACTGCTCTCTGCTCACCTGCCTGTTATCGCCTGGGTGAATCCAGCACCGATCCCGCACACCATTCAACTCCAGGTTCCTCCTCAAAGCCTCCACAGCATGTGGGTTCCACTCACAGGCATGGACAAAGGCCACACCAGCATGAACCAGGAAAGGCAGCGTGAAATAGCCGATCCCTGTGGGCAGAGGAGGGAGAAACAGCAGATAGCATAGTGACAAAACAGCACTGAACCTGGAGCAAATTTCTCATCAGGCCCAATAACTAGACTCCAGGGCATCCAGCTAGTAGGGACTTGTTAATGCTCTTAAATCTGTGGTTGTTCCAAACTTGATCAAAACTGGTTTCAAAATTTCCTATGAAATGGTAAATCTTGACTTGAAAACATCTTGGTCCACTCCAGGGTAGAACTACCTTCAAGCAAGCAAGGAGCAACTGTACTGGCATACATTATATTACTGTATGTACCCAATCCTCTACTACAGTCAGGGTTGATATGTTTGCCAGGTGTAGCATAAATTAGCTCTGTACTCTCCCCAAATGCCACACATCCTCTCCCACTGCCTGATCTGTTGCTCTGCTTTCTGCTTCTTGTCCTGTGCTCCCTGCCTGATCTCTTGCTCTACCTTCTGATCCCAGTCCTATTTGTTGCTGTATCCCCACTCCCTCCCCAACCTTGTGTGTGCCACACCACCAAATGATTTTAAAAGTGCCCAGCGCTGTGGCACATTAAGTTATATAAGTGGCAAAATGCATGTCACCACTGAGAAAATGGCGGCAGCACACTTTTGAACTAAAACACATTGAAGGTTTTTTAGTTTAAAAGCCTGCCACTGCCATTTTCTGCATGCTGACATGCATTTTGCTGTTTATACATCTGCATGTCATGCAATGCAGTGTGCATCAGCTCCACTCAGGCATGTCTGAGCATGAAAACATGTGTGTAAATGCCCAAAGAGACTGCCGGTGCCACCTGTGGCATGCATGTCACAGGTTGGCCATGCCTACAGTTTGCTCAATGCAACTAGTTCACCTGCCACCTAGTGGTGAGACACTGTACTAGTGCCTACCTCAGGCAACTCGCTTGGGCAAACTGGTTGTCTGCTCCTTACTCTGGAGTAAATTTACTCAGGAGTTAAATCTTCAGGGTCAGTAACTCCATGGTAATAGTGTTGTCTGTGCCTGGGGCAAGGCCAATTTAGTGGGGGCAGGCCAATATAGAACATCCAAAAAAATGGGGATGAGGAGGGGGGATTCTCAACAGAGCACAGGACACAGTAAGCTGGGGCAGAGAAGTCAGTCAGGGAACAGCAGTGACCCAGCAGCAGGGACCCAATGAACAATATCCCTGCCCCAACGCCCTCCCACCCTGGGGCATGGTGGCAGCCAAGGGAAAGCATCTTGCTACAACTCCAGAGGCAGGAGTTCAAGCCTCACTCTAGATAAGTGAGGCCACCAAGGACCACCACCAGCTAAATCATCTGTCAGTGGCTTCCCAGTCATTTGGGCTGGGGAGTCAAAGGATGGTAGTTGTTATCTCCTTACATGCTGCTGGCTACAGAAAGTAACATGTCTTAACAATGCCAGCCCAATGGGCTTGGGCACAGTTTTTACCTTTCTTTAAGTTGTAGCTGTATCAACCTCCCTATCACTTAGCTCTGAGCTTCCTGCCCACTCCTCCTTACCCTGCTCCCCTCCAGTCCTGCTCTAGGATGCCTTTGTTCTTCACTTGTGCCACAAGAAAAGCCTCTCCCTCAAGGAAATACCTTTTGAGCCTCCTGAAGAGAAACAGTCAGATTCTGCTGCCCATGTGCTCTGCTCTCAGAGGCAAACTTATCTGGACAGAGGTCAGAGTTCTACTCCCAGGGCCCCAAGAAAGTTGGAGGAGGGCCACCGCATGACCTCCCAGGTCAGCTACCTGCATAGAGATCAACCAGCACTTCCCCGGGACACTGCAGCGATGCTACCCGTAGTTTCTCGGTGATGTTTCCAGAAGAGAACATACATCTGGTCACATCAAAGGTGTATCTGGGAAAACACCACAGGCCCAGTGAGAGCACTGAGCATGAGTTAACCAGCAAGCCCGTCCCTGGGCTGCTTGGCTTAACAGCTCCTTCCTGCTCACTCCCCACTTGTCCCATCCTTATTCCTACCTGATCCCATTGTCCATGTGCTCCACCCAGCCATCATGCCCTAGCAGAAGGCTAACAATTGGGGTTCGCACCCCATCTGGGGATACTCGCCCTTGTTTGGCTAGTCGTTGTGCCCTCAGAGAAGAAGCAACCGTCTCCCAGAGCTCTGGTCCTGAAAGACATGCCCAAGCAGATGGGTTGAGGGGCTCAGATAATGGCCGTCAGGAAACAGAGCAGCAGATTCCTCTTACCCAGTTCGTCCCACAGGGCAGCCTTGAAGCAGTCCTTGCTCAGCATGACCAGGTCACCGTGTCGCTGCCAGGAGTGAGGGAGGTCATGCTCCAGCTCCTCTGACCACCTGCCCCCAAAGCGTGCTACTAAGTGCTGCAGCTCACCACACAGCTTCTTGGCAGGTGACTGGACTCGAGAAGCCTTGGAGGGGACGGGCTTCTGAGAAAGAAACATGGAGGACTCAGATGCGAAGCCAGGCTCACTTCCTCCCTGAGCTCAGGGCTGGGTCATCTGTGTACCTCCCCTCTCCATGGCTGTTGTGCTGGGTCATTTTCTATTATTTCCTGCTGGCCAGTTCATGGGAGAGACATATTGACTGTACAGGAACTAAGGCAGACCCCCCAAAGGCCACACCCAGGAGTTCCCTGTCAACACCAGATAATGCAGGCAGTCCCAGGGTACATCAGTCACTAGCTTAGTCTACTGAGGACTGAAGGGGTCAGGACCCCACCAAGTCCCACATTATACACCAGGCCAGGTCAGGAGGCAGGCTCTGGCAGGCCTCAAAGCACAAAGACTAGTCACTCTGTGGCCGAGAAGCACAGAACACCTTGGTGCCTCTGCAGTGCTGTTCTGCAAAGATCAAAAAAGCAGCCACTAGCTGGGACAGGCATGGTAAACCCCACTCCTGCCTGCCCCAAGATAGCTAGGACCATTCTGACCTTGATCCAGGCCAGTATGCATGTTGTTCCAGGGGCCATACTCCCCCTCAAGTCCTGAAGGTGCTGCTTGGTGAACTTCCCCTCCAGCACAGGCAGTGCCACGGTACCATCTGGCAGCTTCTGCACCCGGTGACTGACATCTAGGATCCTCTCTCCCTCCAAATACTCCCTGCAAGGCCAAAAAGGCATTCAGACACCATTCACCTTGTACACCAACGGTTTTCAAACTTTTTAAGCAGAGCCCTGCTTTGAGTTACAATCTTGTTCATGCACCCCACTCTCTCCCTTACTCACTGCCACCACAGCTAGATGAGAGCCGAGAAGAGGGGGGCGAATACAGGCTGCCCACTGTGGGCTTGGTGCTCCCTCCCCTACTGCCTTCCCTCCTGAGCCCAGTGCTGGCTGTGCACCCTCTGCCTGCCTGGCCGCATCAAGGGGCGCAACTCCACACTGCTGCCACCCCCACCATTGCTGGACAGGCAGGAGCGCCTCCCCATGGTGGCATAGCCAGCGTGGGACCCACAGGAGCAAGGCAGCAGGGCAGGGAGCCCCGAGCTCACATCCACTCCTGCCCCATGCAAAATCGGGGGGGGGGGGGGGG